AATACCAATTAATTACATGAAAATGACTGCACTCTTATTTTTTTTAACTTCACTCTTAATAAAAGCATTTAAAGCCTTATGCTTTTGCATTCTTAAGTTTTACTATGATTCTATATATTCTCTGCATTATTTTGTCTTATAATTGCTAATCACAATTACACTTTCCTGACTCCTCCATTAATAGTTTCTTTTGTGATATACATTTCTTCAGTTTCTGCCCGATATGTCAGATACACATTTTTCTGTCAAATGTAGTAATTAATTTATTTTTGCCACTTTGTGCTGCTTGTGGCATGATCTTAATTCCCTGACCAGGGATTGAACCCAGGTTCTGGCAGTGAAAGTACTGAGTACCAAAACTGGACTGCTAGTAAATTACCCAGATGCACATTTTAAAGTTCATTTTAAGTAACATGATATTCAGATATCTAGGAAACTTTTTAAATGTTGTATTAAGACTCCTAAAGAAGGAAAAGAGATGATTCTTAGTCATTAGCTCCTGCAAGAAGACACATAGTTCCAGAACACATTAACTGGCCTTGTCTCTGTGAAGAACTCTTATTTTTTTCTGAACTCTTGCTGACTTTTATAGGGCTGGTTCTTTCCTCTTGGAATGGTAAATCCTTGCACTTGCTGGATCCACTTTGAGGCATCATTGATTCTCTCCTTGCATCATTAATTCTCACAGCCCTCCCTGTGTCTATGGCTGCAAGGCAATTTTGCAAACAATCTCAACCCCAATTTTATATATATATATATATATATATATATATATATACACACACACACACACACACATATATATATATATATATATGTATATATATTAAAATACATGATTGGATGTTGGAATAGCTCTTTAGAATTATTGGTTTTGTAACTAGTAGTCTTTATCTTTAACCTGGTCCTACATTATAATTAAAATACATTTACTTCTCTTTTAATTTTTATTATCTTACCAGGACCATCATATTTTCAGATGTTTTTAGCTTCTCTATAACCTGGAGGTTGCTAAAGAGTTCCCTTGGAGTCTTATCAACTTAAAGAAAACAACCAGAGTCACACTGTGCCAAATACACAGTATTTGACAGTGACCTATGTTTTATCTATTTCTTTTAATCTTCAAAAATACTGATATTTATGAGATCTTGGAGTTTGTGCCTGCTAAGTTGCTTCAGTTGTGTCCAACTCTTGGTGACCCTATGGACTCTAGCTCACCAGTGGTCCTCTATCCATGGGCATTCTCCAGGCAAGAATACTGTAGTGGGTTGCCATGACTTCCTCCAAGGGATCCTCCCAACCCAGAGATCCAGTCCAGTTCTTTTGCATGTCCTACATTGACTGGGGGATTCTTTACCACTAGCACCACCTGGAAGTTCAGTTCCTTTCAGTCACTCAGTCATGTCTGACTCTTTGAGACACCATGGACTGCAGCACACCAGACCTCCCTGTCCATCACCAATTCCCAGAGCTTGCTCAAACTCATGTCCATCGAGTTGGTGATGCCATCCAACCATCTCATCCTCTGTCATCCCATTCTCCTCTTGCCTTCAATCTTGCCCAGCATCAGAGTCTTTTCCAATAAGCCTCTGTGAAAAGGTACTTGCTATCACTGTGTAAGGGTGACAATGTGGCTAGAACTTAAATTTGTGAACTAATGTATGAGGAGGTGATCAGACCTTGTGAGGTACTTAACTCCACAGGAAGGCATGTCCAAGGATTGTAAATATGGGAACGCTCCGTGACGCTGATCCACAGAGGAAAAAATCCCAGGATTAGTTTGGCTTTAAATATAGACAGCTGAGAGAAGAACAAATACATGTGGAAAGAGAGGGGATTTTCTTTATAAAAATATTGTAGTGGTTTCTTTATTTTGCATACTCTCAATTATATAGCAGCATAGAGCTGCTCTTGTTAAATAATTTGGGATGAACTTTATCCTTTACCATTTTCTGATAAAAGTTTTTGTGGAATCCATATTATTTTCGTTTTAAATGTTTGGTTGTATTCATCTAGCAAATTCATCTGGGTCTGGAAAATTCCTTGTTGGAGGGTTTCAAACTACAATTTCTCCAGTAGATATGAGAGTACTTAGATTATCTATTTCTTTCAAAATGAGCTTCAGTAGTCTGTACATAGCAAGGGATTTTCTCATTTGTCTTAGTTATTAAATATAATGAAGTTAATTCTTATTTTGTTGTTGTATATTTTCTATTTCCTGATAATTTTGACTAAGTTTGTAAGTTATATTAATCTTTTAAAAAGTCAGTTCATACTCATTCTTGTAAATTTCAAGGAGATATGTGTGATATCCAACAATAAAATAATAAAGTTATCTTTTGTAAACAGGTATCAACAAAACAATGAATCAAATTTCAAGTCTTAAAGCAATATTTAGGCCAACTAGCATTTATGAAAATATAAGAATTCACAATCACTATAGTTGATTGTACATGAATACACTCACAATATGAATTTAAAAGTTTAAAAAATAGACTTTAAAGATAGAACTTATAGAGTTATTTCTTCTACAGAAGAGAAAGAAGAATAGAAAGTTTTACTGAATATAATATACTTAATAAGCTTAAAGTCTTTTAAAATTTTGATGTTTATACATGTATGGGAAACAAAAATTTGCCAAAATCACTTCTTTATACTTCTGTTTTCTTTCAATATCTAGGGGAAATAGCACAGAATTTAAGCAAAATAGTAAATACAGAAAGAATCAGAAACAATATAATTAATCAGTAATCATATAAAAATCTGAAAATCATGATAAACTTAGATTTATCTTCTTCACTGCTAACTTGTAGAATAAAGTAGAAACTCTATTTTTACTTACCTAAAAATCCTACTAAAAAAATGCTCAAAATATCCTCCATCAGAGTTAAAAAAAAAAGAGAATAATTTCAAGAGACAATTAAAGTAATTAAATATAAATCCTGGATACTTAAGGAATTAAGAAAACATTAGGGACATCTGCAGGGGAGGTAGAATAATATAAAGTCATGCTAATGCTAAATATCTCATCATGTACAGGAATCACTAGATATAATTTTTTATAATTAGCTTAATTTAATATCCTTTTTAAAATATACACACTATCAGGAGAATTCTATATATTCTACCAGAATTTCTATGTAAATACACTTGTGTGTAAGATTCCATACATTTATATATGTGTGTACATTCCCATACTTAAAATCATCTGATATGTATTGTTTGGCAACCTGTAATTTTTCTTTAAAATATTTTAAGCATATTTCCATATTAGCACTTTGTAGTAACATATTCAGTAATAATTGTACCAAATTTTTAAAATGTATTGCAATACATTTATCCTGTGCATTTATATTTCTAGCTTTCATTTTTGTCATCAATGCTGTGAGGAAATAAACATGTTCATGAGTTTTCATTAGCACTTGTACAAGTGAACATGTAAAATATTCTTTATTCTTTATTATTTTATAAATCATTTGTGTTCTTAGACATCTCACTGTTTCTTTTCTTCCCTGATGAATACTTTTTACTGTTGCTAGTAAGAGTAGCAATTATTACCACTATGGTAAAATAAATGCAGTCTATAGTATGATTTTAAAATGATCAAGAGGAGCTTTGACATTCATTTGAGGAGCAGATGCAGATTTTTGATTCATTCCAGTGCTTTTATTAATGTATGGTGTTGGTGGTAAAGATCCCACCTGCAAATGCAAGAGACCTAAGAGACTTGCGCTGGATCCGTGGGTAGGGTAGATCCCCTGGAGGAGGGCATGGCAGCCCACTCCAGTATTCTTGCCTGGAGAATACCCATGGACAGAGAGCCTGGTGAGCTAGAGTCCGCAGGGCCACAAAGAGTCAGACACAACTGAAGCAACTTAGCAAGCACACATGCTAATAATCCATAAATTTCTACCTCTAGCAAAATTTTCTCCTGTCTCCAGAGTGAAAAATTAAAATAGCTTGATGCCCCAAGATCACCTAAAATCATTATGTCCCATAATGCCTGAAATTAAACTTAGGAAAGAGGAAATATGGGCTTCCCAAGTGGTACTAGTGGTAAAGAATCCTCCGATCAGTGCAGGAGATATCAGAGGTGGCTGGATCCCTGGTTGAGGAAGATCCCTTTGGGAAGGGCATGGCAATCCACTCCAGTATTCTTGCCTAGAGAATCCCATGGACAGAGGATCCTGGTTGGTTACAGTCCATGGGGTCGTGGAACTGGACATGACTGAAGTAATGTGTGTTACACACAAGGAGGAACTATAAAGGAGATCCCTTTCTCTGTCTTGCAAATCCAATGTATGTAGGATGCAGACTGATTACAGTAGTATTACTGGTAATAGTAACAATAGACAACCTTCCTTCACTTTCATTATATGCTATGCAGTGTTTTAGAAGCTTTATATAAATCATTTTAGTTAATAATTTCATCAACCTTATAAGTTACATAATATTTTGTGCCTGTTATAAAGATAAGTGTATAGAATTCCAGAAAGAGTAAATGCACTCTGCCAAGGCCATACATCTGAAATTCAAGACTTGAACTTAGAGCCCAAATGCTCAGCTAATACATCAGGATGCTAAATATGTGAGTATATTTTTTCTGATTTACAGAGGTCATATTATAGGAGAATAAACTAAAATCATGATAAGTTGATTTGAGATATTTATTCATTTTTTTTTAAGTGTGTGTGGGTGGGCTGTGTCTTCAGTTCTCCTGTTTGTCTATATTAACATAAATTGAAATTAGCTATTGAATTTCTTTGCTTCAAACTTATAACAAAGCTCATTATTACACAGACTCTAAAATGTCCATGGTCTGACACTGTCCTGAACAAAAGCAGTGAAACAAGATTTTAACATGATCTGATTTACTCAAATCTTAATGCTATTGTTCTCTCTTAATGCTGGCATGATATAAGAGTTCCAATATAATTGTAGGTACTCTTCAATTACTGGAGTTACATAGAGAATTAAAGAACTATGCTGTTTAAACTACATCAGCAAAATTTCTTGCTCAAAGAAAAGACCTGGATAAATTTCTCCTGAATTTGCTTGGTTTTAACTCCATAAATGATGGGGTTGAGAGTGGGTGGTACCACCACATAAAGATTGGCAAGAAGAATATGTATATATAGTGGTATACTGTGGCCCCCAAATCGGTGAGCAAAGAATGAAAAAAAGGCTGGGGTATAGAACACTAATATAACACAGACATGGGAGCCACAAGTACCCAGAGCCTTGATCTGGGCATCTTGGGAAGGAATCCTAAACACAGTACAGAGTATTAGGGCATAAGAGATGATGATAAGCACCACATCCAGGCATGTGGAAAATAGAGCCACAATCACCCCATAGTAGATGTTGACTTGAATGCTATCACAGGCAAGCCTGGCAATGCCCATATGTTCACAGTATGAGTGACAAATAATGTTCCTTCCACAGTAAGTAAGCCGATAAACCAGAAAAACCAAGGGGAAACAGATGAGGAAACTCCTAGTTATAGAAGCAATGCCTATTTTTCCAATAACTGAGGGTGTTAGAATGGTAGTATATCTTAGTGGATAACAGATGGCTACATAGCGATCAAATGCCATGGCCAGCAGTATGGCAGACTCTGCCACAAAGATGAAGTGGAGGAAAAACATCTGGGACACACAGCTACCAAAAGATATAGCCCCTTCTTGGAACCAGAAGATTGCTAACATCTTGGGTGTGGTGACAGTGGAGAGAAAGATATCTGCCAAGGCTAACATGGAGAGGAAAAGGTACATGGGTTCATGAAGACTGTGATCAGTGAAGATCAGAAATAGCAAGAGGGTATTTCCTACAACAGCGACTATGTACATGGAACAAATGGGGATGGAGATCCACGTGTGTGCATCTTCCAGTCCTGGGATCCCAATCATGGTGTACCAAATGTCTCTAAGGTTAGTGTAGTTTGAAGAGGTTGTCATCTGTTACTCTGTCCTCTGATGCTGGACCCTGAAATAGGGTGAGGGAGAGAGAGAGAGAGAATGAGAATGAAGTGTCAGGGCTATTTTATCAGATTAAAGGTGACTCTTGGCATTGCAGTAATTTATCTGTCTTAAAAAAGGATGGTAATAAGTAATGATTGAAGGATGATAAGCCAAATAGGCTTCACTGACCTGAAAGTTACCATGACTTAATAGAGCTAATGCTACTGGTAATGATAATGAAAATAACAATAATAATAAACATTGAATGGGCTTATAATTTAATTTAGGCACTGTGACCAATACATTGTATTTATTGACTTAGCATCATACAAGAAAACTTCTTTATAAGCTCTTGAGTATCATCAGTTTTCCTTCTTGTCTGACTAGTTACTCCTGGTGACTAATAGACACTTTTTTTTTTTTTTTAGAGCTAAAGAAACAAGTGTTCAGAATACTGGTGTGGCCTTTGAGGGAGCTCAGTAACAATCATTATTCTTATGATTTAATATGAAGATTTTCATTATCAAATGAGAACAACTTAGAAATAGTAATATAAATGTAGATAGTCCTTACTTTGAACAGTGTTTTTCTAACTTAAGAGTGTGCATATTCACGGAACCTTCTCCAGAATAGATCAGATCCTGGGCCATAAATCTAGTCTTGGTAAATTCAAAAAAATTGAAATCATTCCAGTCATCTTTTCTGACCACAATGCAGTAAGATTAGATCTCAATTATACGAAAAAAATTGTTAAAAATTCAAACATATGGAGGTTAAATGGCACGCTTCTAAATAACCAATAAATCATAGAAGAAATCAAAAAAGAAATCAAAATATGCATAGAAATGAATGAAAATGAAAACACAACAACCCCAAACCTATGGGACACTGTAAGAGCAGTGCTAAGGGGAAGGTTCATAGCATTACAAGCTTACCTCAAGAAACAAAAAAAAGTCAAATAAATAACCTAACTCTACACCTAAAGCAACTGGAGAAGGAAGAAATGAAGAACCCCAGGGTTAGTAGAAGGAAAGAAATCTTAAAAATTATGCCAGAAATAAAGGCAAAAGAAACTAAAGAGACCATAAAAAACCCTAAAGACTCTACCAGAAAATTACTAGAGCTAATCAACGAATACAGTAAAGTTGCAGGATATAAAATTAACACACAGAAATCTCTTGCATTCTTATACACTAACAATGAGAAAACAGAAAGAGAAATTAAGGAAACAATACCATTCACCATTGCAACAAAAAGAATAAAATACTTAGGAGTATATCTACCTAAAGAAACAAAAGACCTATACATAGAAAACTATAAAACGCTGATGAAAGAAATCAAAGAGGACACAAACAGATGGAGAAATATACCGTGTTCATGGATTGGAAGAATTAATATTGTCAAAATGGCTATACTACCCAAGGCAATCTATAGATTCAACGCAATCCCTATCAAACTATCAATGGTATTTTTCACAGAACTAGAACAAATAGTTTCACAATTTGTATGGAAATACAAAAAACCTCGAATAGCCAAAGTAACCTTGAGAAAGAAGAATGGAACTGGAGGAATCAACCTGCCTGACTTCAGACTATACTACAAAGCCACAGTCATCAAGACAGTATGGTACTGGCACAAAGACAGAAATATAGATCAATGGAACAGAATAGAAAGCCCAGAGATAAATCCACGAACCTATGGTCACCTTATCTTCGACAAAGGAGGCAAGGATATACAATGAGAAAAAGACAACCTCTTTAACAAGTGGTGCTGGGAAAACTGGTCAACCACCTGTAAAAGAATGAAACTAGAACACTTTCTAACACCATACACAAAAATAAACTCAAAATGGATTAAAGATCTAAATGTAAGAGCAGAAACTATAAAACTCCTAGAGGAGAACATAGGCAAAACACTCTCCGACATAAATCACAGCAGGATCCTCTATGACCCACATCCCAGAATTTTAGAAACAAAAGCAAAAATAAACAAATGGGACCTAATGAAACTTAAAAGCTTTTGCACAACAAAGGAAATTATAAGCAAGGTGAAAAGACAGCCCTCAGATTGGGAGAAAATAATAGCAAACAAAGCAACAGACAAAGGATTAATCTCCAAAATATACAAGCAACTCCTGAAGCTCAATTCCAGAAAATAAATGACCCAATCAAAAAATGGGCCAAAGAACTAAACAGACATTTCTCCAAGGAAGACATACAGATGGCAAAAAAACACATGAAAAGATGCTCAACATCACTCATTATCAGAGAAATGCAAATCAAAACCACAATGAGGTACCATTACACGCCAGTCAGGATGGCTGATATCCAAAAGTCTACAAGAAATAAATGCTGGAGAGGGTGTGGAGAAAAAGGAACCCTCTTACACTGTTGGTGGGAATGCAAATTAGTACAGCCACTATGGAAAACAGTGTGGAGATTTCTTAAAAAACTGGAAACAGAACTGCCATATGACCCAGCAATCCCACTTCTGGGCATACACACCGAGAAAACCAGATCTGAAAGAGACACGTGCACCCCAATGTTCATTGCAGCACTGTTTTTAATAGCCAGGACATGGAAGCAATCTAGATGCCCATCAGCAGACGAATGGATGAGGAAGCTGTGGTACATATACACCATGGAATGTTACTCATCCATTAAAAAGAATTCATTTGAATCAGTTCTAATGAGATGGATGAAACAGGAGCCCATTATACAGAGCGAAGTAAGCCAGAAAGATAAAGACCATTACAGTATACTAACACATATATATGGAATTTAGAAAGATGGTAACGATAACCCTATATGCAAAACAGAAAAAGAGACTCAGATGTATAGAACAGAATTGTGGACTCTGTGGGAGAAGGCGAGGGTGGGATGTTTCAAGAGAACAGCATCGAAACATGTATATTATCTAGGGTGAAACAGATCACCAGCCCAGGTTGGATGCATGAGACAAGTGCTCGGGCCTGGTGCACTGGGAAGACCCAGAGGGATCGAGTAGAGTGGGAGGTGGGGCGGGGGGATCAGGATGGGGAATACATGTAAATCCATGGCTGATTCATGTCAATGTATGACAAAACCCACTACAATATTGTAAAGTAATTAGCCTCCAACTAATAAAAATAAATTTTAAAAAAAGAGTGTGCATATTGAAACCATGTTCTCTCTTTGCATGGTCCCAGGATGCATGCATTTCAGGTGAACTAATCCTGTGCAAAGCAAGGACTGATAAATCATCATAACACAGAATATATGTCCTCTCATCACTCACGTACATTACCTTCCTCCCTCCAGTCTCACTTGCCTACCCCACTTTTTCTCTTTTCCCATTTATTTCTCCCAGCTTATATTCAAATATTTGCCCTTTCCTTCTCTTCTTCTTTTTTTAGCTCAAATTTCAAAAAGAAAAAATAGCTTGTAGATAACAAAATAGAAAATGAGTTTCAAGCACTCAAGCATTAAACAAGTTAATGAGTATTTCTTTAAGCTTGCTCTGTATTTAATACCTCATTGAGGAAGGAATCAAATATAGATCATAAATATTTTCTATTTCAAGGATTCCTACCCTTGTGAAGGTCATGAAACGTGGAAACAAAACACCTCCCTTCAAAGATCAGGAAGAAATATTTGAGATATTCAATCACATATGTATGACACAAAGAAGCATAACCTTCACTAGAGAGATAATGAAAAGATTCGTGGAAGTGTGGTCAATAGTCTGTTTCTCAGAAACAAAAAACTTCAGGAAAGAACAACAAAGACAAACGAAAAGCTAAAGTAAGGTATTTAAATTACTGTAAAAATAAGATCATCTAGCTTATTGAGAGCTTAGAGATATAAGAAATATGACTTGAGCAAGTAGATTGTGTCTTGAAGATAAAGAATTTTAAGTCAAGATAATGGCTTCATGGCTTTGAGTTTAGTTTGTCACACAAATAACTAATTTATTAGTCAACTGTATTTACTGAGTCTCTAATGTTTTAGCAAAATTTTAAGAAGGATATAATATGATAAGAAAATTAAGATTTATTTTTTCAGAGAAGCTTTTGCTGGTGGTCAATTCTTTTTTTAAACCTTCTATCTCCCAGTAGCATAGCTAAACAATTATTAATTACAAACTTTGTAATATTGTTCACTAATACATTTCAATTTCCCTGTAGCTATGAGTTATATCTTCAGTATCCAGTATAATACATTTTTGTTGAGTAAATATAGTTTAAAAGTTGGTGAAATTTCTTGAAATGAAGGAAGAAAGCTACCCAGAGTTGCTCTAGGAAACTTTTCCAACAGATCAAAGCAGTCAGGAATGTAGCTTTAAAAGTGAAAACAGGGCATAGAGAAGAAATATATAGCAAAAATTTTAAAAAAAATAAAATAAAAATAAGAAAAAAAAATTGACTGCCAGGTGATAGGTTATATGAGGGATAAATGAAAGGCAATAAAATATTTTCAGACATATTGTTCTGGAAAGAATAATGATACCTCTAACCAATAAAGGGAATAAGCTAGGAGATGCAGAATTCAGAGAAAGTTAATACAATTGTCCTGAAACTATTAATATTTAACATGTCTATGGAATGACTGAGGAAATCAATGTGAGTGACTGACCCAAACCTGCTTAGTACCCTGGAAAGAGAACTGGGCTAGGTATGAGGCTCTAGCTGAGCTGTAGCCTCAGTTATGCCATCAACAGACTGAGATCTTGTTAGAGGCATTTCACCACTCTGAACTCTCTATACATCCTAGATTGGAATCAGATTAACTTATAGGTGGTTCCCTTCTAGATACAGAAATCTAAACTTCATTTCCCACTTGTGAACAATCCCTTCTTTAACCGTTCTTTGCCTTTGATTTCCTTAATCCCATTATACCCCTGTCTTTCTCCTACATTTCCACGGTTCTGAGTCTTTTCTCTGATGCTATTCTTACTCTGATTCTTTGCAGTGGTATCACTATTGCTGTTGTTATTATTATTGTTATTGCTCTTATTGT